GTCACAAGGAGGATGAAGCCCCTCCTCTCCCACCCCACCCCACCCCACCCCAAAGGCAGTTTGAGAATACAGTACATTTTTCATGTTCCACGTTTAATAAGACTTGGGCCTGAGGTTTGGCCCCTGGTGAAGTTAATGAGTGTGTAGCCACAGACTACCAGACTGGACTACTTAGGGATCCTTTCTAACATCCACCCAGCCACACCTGAACTTTTTACCTCCTACCTAGCCCTTGAAGCTCCTCCACGTGAAGCACAAGGGGATATTTCAATCTTGTAGTTTGTTCAATCTGTGCCTAGTCCTTTTCTACAAGCCTGGAAATTTTCCTACTAGGGGTACAGAGCAACCAAATTGGAATGGAGAAATGGATTTTTCATTCAGCCACAGTAGAGCCAGAGGAAAAAAACTAACTGTATGAAAATGTGGCTCTAAAACCTCAAAAAAGTGGTAGGGCGAAGGGGTAGAAATGGAGCTTATAACCAATTCCAAAGCAGTTTGAGACACGGCTGACATTTCAGGTTGACAGCTTACTAATTTGGAGGGGGCTGCAAAGACTAGCTTCCAGGTCCTTTGCTTCAGATCTCACCTCCTCCCAGAGGCTAGATTTTTTGTGTGTTTGTGTTTAAACAGTACAGCTTTTGGACAGAAGCATTCAGAGCCTTGCTCAGAAAAGCCACCCGAGATCCCCTGTGGTGCGTTTTACACTACAAAAATCACCCAGAAGGGATCAATTATACACAGTATCCATTCAGACATCTACAGCGACAGAGCTTAAGTGAGCAGGGATGAGACAGAAGTGAAGAGGAGCAGCCAAGAAAGACAAAGTAAATCTGTGAATTTGCTACTGAAATCAAGGCATCTGCAGGAAATGTTCATGTGTGCCCCCAAGCACACCCTGCAAATTACCTATAATCGCTGAAGGCGTGGAATATTACATTTCTAATATCCCTGTTCAGGAGGACAACAAAATAAGCCCATCTGTACCAGGTTTGGGGAACACAACTTATTTTCAACAGACTTCAAGTCACAAGGATGAGAAAAGCTAGCCCAAGAAGAGGCCTGCAGGACTTTATCCTCCCACGCAGGGTGAGACTGCTGTTGAAAGAACACTTCCTCATTTTCTGTCCAGCTCTCCAAGCCTGGAGCGTTAATGTTTCCAGCCCTGTCCACCCTCTCCTTGGGGAGATTATGTCACTGGTTTTACAGTCGGAAAGGACTGTTATTACCTAGTTTGACCAGTAATTCTGGCAGCCAGCCAGTCCTGGTTTCACTACTGAATACAAACCTAGGGGCTGGGCACATGAACAAGTTACCACGACGTAAAAGAGGGCCGAGATTTGTCACCGGTCAGCTGCTCTGCATTAACTGCCTACATGCACGCTCTTAACCCCGCAGTAAATGAGTGCTAATCTGAACCAGTTCAGCCTTCTACGAAGGTGACAAAGGAGCTTTCACTGAGACCTAAACTACCCTGAGTTATCTTCAATCTACCATGGGGCAAGAGTGTACACACAGGCAGCAAGTGCTGTCCCCTTTCAAGCACACAGCAACTAGTTTGTAAGTCCCTGGAGAGGACAAGTTAATAGAAGCATGAGTCCCACTAGCTGGCTTACCTAGATAGTAGATCCTGTGCGAATGGGGCCCTTCAGGGTCATTTTTCCTCACAAACATGAAGTCGTGAGGTGCCTTAGCCATCATGTAACCATGGTATTTCCTTGTGTCCGTGAGCAGCTTTTTAAGCTGGCTCCAGGAATACCTCTCAACATAGAAGGGCTCCAGCCTGGGCGACTCCTCCTTCTCCACATGCTCCTCACACCCCGCCACCGTCTCAAAGATTTCAAGGCCCAGCTGTTCAGTTTCCATGGCTGCTGCCATGTTGCATGTTTCTGGAAGAACAAAAGACAAGGGACGTGTCAGGGCTGTCTTTGAGAGGCCTAACATAACGCCTTTAAACACAATAGTACAGTGACAGACAGGAGAGAAATACAACTATTTCTATACTCATTTGGTGGGGGGGTGAGGAGGGGGTTGTATTTGTATGTTGGAAATACCTTGTCATCCTCAGATGGAAATGTTTAAGAGTGGGATGGGACAGTGGAATTAAAATCTTTGCCAGTTCAAGTAGGAGGATCACAGTCCAAGATCTAGTTTTTTAAAATAGCTACTCATCCTCCTCTGACTCTGGACTCGATAGGAAATGGATCACACAGCTTCTCTTTGTTAAGTCCTGCACTACTGCCTTCCTCTGACATTACCCTGCACATACCAATACGTACAGCCTCAATCAATAGTACAACCCATGATGCTGCAGCCTAGACAGCAGTCTGGACTATTTAAAGAGAAAGACATTTACAAAAGATCTGGAAACATCTGATTGTACACAGGTGCCCCATGCAACTGCACAATCAGTTCACAGTTGGCCTTTTTCCAGTTGCTGGCTGTGCTCATGCGTCAAGTATTTCTTTAGATTAGGCTTTCCAAAGAAGGGACTGTAGCACAACCTGCCCCTAATGGAGACCTTTGTGCAGAGCGACAAAAGTACTAAATGATCATTATTATCATACATTTATCATCATGTGAATGATAAGCAAGTGAATCCTCCTGCACAAAGCTAGCCAAACACAGGGCAGAATGGAGCAGGGTTGTTACAGCATCTAAGGTGCCCCAATGGTCGCAGCAGATCTCAAACCTCATTCCCAGCAGACTCTCTCCCCTTGCCTGCACTTAGCTGGCATGACGAGAAGGCAGGCCAAAATTGACAGCTGTCAGCGTGGACACCATCTGCTTTTCAGGTCCTCCCCTGCAGCAGGAGCCACAGGAGAAACTGAACTGGCTTTCAGGCGACTCCACCTGCCCTGCACACTGGGACCAGAAACGTCAGCCCAGCACCAACACAAAACACCCGGATCCTTCCATTTACGCTGCCACTCCTCCAGCCGTGGGCTTGCACCCCGTGGGGATGCGAAGCCAAGACAGATGGTAGCTCCAGTGCTGCCAAATACCAGGGCAGCAGCCAAGTTGGTCACAGGTGAACTGATTCACATCTGCTGGAAAGCAAACAGCTCCAATTCAAGGAGCAGCAGGGCTAGATGAAAGACTGCGTTTCCGTCCCCTTTGCAAGTGCACAACCACCCAAAGAGAGAGCAGCATCTCCTGGGTCCCAGCCCCTCGCATGGCACAAGAGGCAGCGGGACAGGAGTGCACCGCCTGTTGCAACCCAGGTGCGGGGGAAAAAGGTGCGCCCAGGGGAGCACTGGGCTCGCAGCACAATGCCAAAATGCTTGCTAGTGCCAGCAGCCCCGGGCAACGACAGTGAACCCTCCCGGATTAACGTGAGCCCAGGAGCGGGCACCTAGCACCGCAGAGCCTTGGGCCCGTGCCACCTCGCCCTCCGCTGGGGCCTGGCCCCCCAGGGGCACAGACATGGGGCAAGGGAGTGGGGGGCAGGGAAGTGCCTGTGTGCACGTTCCGGTCACGTGCGTATGTGCACAGGCACCGGCACATTAGTGCACACCTGTGCATGCGATGCAGCCTGTGCCCGTACGTGTGCGTCTGTCCGTGAGGGGTGGGACGGGGTGTGGGCACATCTGTGCTCACAAGGGCCGAGCCCATGGCGGGGCGCGGCGGCCGGGCCGAGGCGGGGTACTCACGGGCGCGGCG